TGTTGTTGGATAGATTCACAGTTTTTCATACAAACAAACATAAACTATTAGCAATTACCAATAAACCGCATTAATAATATCAAATTTACATTTTTTTGCTTCTCCTTAAAATCACTGATTTTGCAGACAAAAAAAGAAAGTTGTTCTAGAAAATTCAAGCTGAAAAAACTAAAAAAAAAAAGAAAATTAAAAACAAATAAGAGTGAAGAAAAAAGGAAAAATAATAAAACTTTAAAACAGGTAAAAAATTACATTACTAGAAAAAGTGGTGGTGGTAGTGGTGACGGTGGTGGTGGTGTTTGGACGATGTACATGACCGATTGTCGTTTATGTTCCTGTTCGTTCCTTCATCCAAATTTAAGACAATCGAAACAAATGCACCTAATCATTAAATGCTTAACAGTCTGGAAAAAAATTGATGATACACAACAGTTTTGTTTTGACATTAATATTTTTCTAAGAGCATTTTGTAATTAATCTTCAAATTTTTGATATTTTTTTGGTATAATTTTTTTTTGTGTCGGAACACTTTGTGAATGAACTTATTAACTGCTGACTTAGAACTAACTGTTCTTTTTTCAGCTAACTTTGAAAACCATAATGATTGGCGCAGGAATATTAAAACTGATAACAATAAACTTGACGATACAATTTCTAGACTTTTTTCAAGGCATTTAACACTGCTTTGTCGTTATATGACAACAACTATTTAGTTGTTTGACATGGTTTCTGTAAAAATTTAACACTTCTAATAAGTGTTTTTAAGGTGCCATATTTCTGCAGTTAAAAAATACGCTATAATTTACTAAATTTTAAATTATTACTGCTCATTGAAATCAACTTGAAAAAGTGAAAGTTTTTTTTCTTCTGTAGATCGCATAACTGTCATTAGCATTTGCTTTCTGATAAGCACAAAATTAATGGCGTATTTTTGGTCGCTTGTTTTATTGAATTAAAGATAATTCAAGATAAACAGTAAAGAATAAGCAGGAGAAATGCCAAATAGAAAATGTTTGAAATTTGGTGAAAAGATATGATAATGATAAAATTTGCGAAAGTACAAAAACAGCAAAATAAAAAAATGTTGTAAGACAGATTAACAACGAACATTGACAATCAAAATTAACTGCCTTAGTCTACACAATTTTATCAACTGTAAACCGAAGAAAATCGAAATTTGTTTTATTCATGATTCTTACACAAAAGATGTATAACGGCGAAAAGCGTTTGCTTGGTCGGATGGTCGGAAACGTTTATCCCAAATCATCTGGGAGAAGGCGGAGAACAGAAAACGTGAACGGAAGTGATAAAGCGGGAAAACAAAATTACGTCAAAATTTTCAAAAAAGCTCCTCTACTAAAATAAAGGTTCAATAAGACATTTCTGTCTTACAGATTTCATCTTTGATGATATATGGTAAGCATTTGGAAGAAATTAACTTCAAAATGTCTAAATCTTCTCTTCGCTTATTTTCCGTCCATTGCTTTGCTCCTTATGCTTACCATCTATTCCTCTTATACTCCTTCCTTTCTCAACCGCTAACAGTCAGCAATAGTGTAAAAGCAAAGCTAAAAAAAATTTTTGATCTTTTCAACTGACGCTGTTGTTAAAATTATTAAAAACCGTTTGTTTTACGAAAGAAGTTATACTGTGCCAACAAACCTTTAAAGGTATTTTTTTAAAACTTTTATTACACAAATAAAACTGACTAATTTTGGCGTTTTTTACGCTTTGCTATACTGATTAGCTGATGTAACGGAAATAAATGATTGCGACTAAAAAAAGAAATCAGAAACACATTGTCAACTGCACCTGGAAACACGTTTTTTTCCATTTTTTCTAACCCGCGTTGATTTTCTCTGCTTTGCTTTTTCAACTTTCCTCCTCTTTTGTTTCTCCTCTACAGTCATTTTTCTCTTAAAATTATTTAAATTTGTTTAGAGTGAAAAAAGAAAGTAAAACAAAAAAGTGAAAAAAGCACCCGTCAACTTCCTTTACTGTATCTAATGCAATGAAATTGGTTTTGAAAAAAAAATTTACTGAAGAGGTTTTTAAAAAAAAAAAAAGAAAAAAAAAAGGAATAACCGTAAAAGACGACAAGTTTCCTTCTTCTTTTGAAAGGCGCTGTTACACTGACACATCAAATTTGGTTACGCTTTCACAATTTACCGACCGCAGTTATCCTAAATTCATGCAGCTCTTTACCGTTACCATATTCTTTTTCCTTCTTGCTTTTTCCTTTGTCTGTTTCATCTGTTTTTTTTTTTCGGAAGATTTTTTTCAGTTTTAGCTCTGTTTGTCGTCTGCTTTTTCTACTGTTTTTGCAGAAACAGAAAACCATTTAATGCTGATACTACAATTTGTCAACCTGTTGAAATTACCTTTCGTTCTCTCGTATTCTTTTGTTGGTGCGTTTGTTTTATTTATTTGGTTAAGTGTTTTCCACTGAATCACCGTGTTTGCAAATTCATTAAAACTTTTTAAAATTAAAAACTGATAAAAAAACTTGAAAAATAAGTAACAAAAGAATAGTTCTTTGAAAGATACAGTCTTTTCTTTGGAGGTTTCATTGCGAGTGTTTTTGCGGACTGCACAATTTGCAATGTCATTTCCCATCTTCTTTTTCATGTTTTCCTCCTCTGCTATAATTTATCTTCTCCCTTCCTTGCTTAACAATATCACCTTTTTCCTTTTCCCTCTTAAACTTCTATCAGTACACAAAAATTTTTTGCTTGCTTTTTTTCTCGTTCTTTCAACTGAAGAAACGCTGAAACCCAGTAGTGACAAAGCTTTAATGATGTATTTATGCGCTGAACAGTAACGTATCAAAAAGCGCTTGTTAAGCGATCAAACGATGTTTACAATTCATAATGGAACAACGTAACAAATAACGAATAAATTGCCTGCTGCTCAGTTGATGCCATCAGTTGTACTTCTTTTTCAGGTTCTATATCCATCACTTTCTTATTGTCGTAGTCGTCACCGTCATCGTCGTCATCATCATCAACATCATCTGCAGCAGCAGCATTAGACAACATCCACGACCAAAAAACTAAAACTGCTTTATAATTTTTCTTATATCGATTTTTTGGAAACATTTAGTTTTTATTCGCAACCTTTTTCGCTTTATAAAACCACAACTTTGGTGTTATATGATCAATACAATTCTGTGTTATTTTTCTTTAACTGTCATCACTAAATACTGTTGAATTACTTGCAATTTTTTTGCTTTTTTTTCTGTTTATCACTGTAATTAATCACCTTAAGAAAGTCTGAAAGCGTTCTATGAAATATCAAATAAATTGGAGTAAAAGTTGTAATTTTTTTTATTCTTTTCTTTTCATATTCTGCTTTATATATACAATTCAAAAAAATTATATGTTTTTTTACTCTTCTTCCAGGTCATCTAATTGCCTAACCCTCCTCATCCCTTCCTCGTTTCCATTTTTTGTCTTTAATCTGAGCATCCATGCAATACAGGATAAACAGGATATGAATGTTTCTAATAATGTTGTATGCATGCATGAGAACTGGTATTTTAAAAACTGTTTTCTTCACTACATCTGTAAAGTGCCAGTGAACGCTTTAAAGAAAAACTAAAGATTAATGCAAACTTTAAGATTATTTTCTTATCATCTCAGTTATTGTTTCTCTTGAATTTGTCACTGATTGCCTTTTTCTTTATCTTTTTTCTCTTCTCTTTCTACCAGATATCTCTGTCACTTTTCAAAAGGTTTTAGCAAATAAAAATTACTATACACTTATGATGCAGCTACAAAAATTTATTAAAGCCGAATTCTATGCTGCTTTTAAAGTTACAAATCACATCTTAATAAAAGTATTATTAAGTTTAGAAATCAACAGTGAATAAAAATTAAATTCTGTTCGATTAAATTTTGCTAAGAAAACAAAGAAACAGAAAGAAAAAAGCAATTATTTAAAAGCTTACCGAGATATACTAAAAAATTTCTTATATTAAATCCCCTAATCACTAATACATTTACAATTTTGTTTAAGCAATTAATTCTAATTTTTTTTTCTCAAACTTAATGTTACGTTACTTTTTTTTTGCCCAATAAAAAAAACAACTTCTGATTCTTTTAACTTTATTTCATTAACAAAAAACACATTTCTTACAGGGAATCTTTAATACTCTCAACCTCTGAAGACCTATACAAATGTATATCGCTGTTCTGTAAGTAAAAGTTTTTTTTACATCTACTGTCAAATCATTTGTACCTCTTTGTATAACATTATCTTTTTATTTATTTTCATAGTTCATCTGTTCAACAGGCACTTTTCCTCTCAAACAGGAAATATATTTCGCATTACTAAAGCTAACATATGTTACGTATTTTAGGCTGTACCTTGTTTCTACGTTCACAACCTCCATAGCTTCTGAGGTGTCACAATTAACTTTTCCTTTTTGCATTCCTCCTTTTTCACCATTAGTTTTCAATATACTCAAATTTTTCATGTGCATCAATGTTAACTACAAAATTGTACATGTATTTTTGAATTATCAATTACATAAGCAAAAAAAATTTTTTGAAGCACACTAACTCATTGTCAGCATACTGTTAGTGAACAATTTATTTTCTATCACTTCCATTTAAGAATGATGCAACGGCCACTGAGGTTTTACCAGCGGATTATCTGAAGTACAAATCAGATGAAAACTACGATGAATACGCTGAAGATGACAATCCACAAAATTCAGACGAAAATGCTGCAGAACAAGAAGATGCTTATGATGAATCTTTTTCTTACTCTCCAAAAAATTACGTCGAAACAACTAAAAATCCCCCAATCACCCAACCGTTGTCCCCTATAACTACAGAGCACGGTTTCACGAGTGCAGTAACAAATTCACTGCCCACAACAGAAAACTTTCAAAAGCTGGAAAACAGGGTTACCAGTACACTACCTGAGAACCCATTCCTAACAACTACAATTCCTACTTACACTACAAAATTTTCAACTTATGAGACCACAACTCCAGATGCTGAAAAATTATACTCCCCTGACGAAAACTCAGATTCTAAAGATGTCATACAATCATTACTTTCAGAATCTGCAACGCCTAGCTCAACTAAACAATTTTTATCTTACCAAACCACATCTGGTATTAACAAACAAACAGACTTTTACCCGACTTTAATTACTAAACAACCATGGTATCACATGAGTACAACTCCCAACACCACCAGTTATTCACCATTCTACGAAACTACAACTAAACACTCTTTACCTAATGAAGCTCCAACTCCAAACACCCAAACGCAACAGTCTTATGAAACCACAACATCAGAATCTACAACCGCACAATCCTTATCATACCGACCTACTGCTGCTAATTACAAGGAATATTTTTTTGAAACCACGCTTCCCGGACCTACTATCCAACCCCTGTCTCATGATACTACAACCCCGTATGCAAAAACTACTATTGCGACCGTTGCGACTACTACACAGTCGCCACCTTACAGAACTACAGCTGGCAGTAGTAATATACAGCAATGGCCATACCAGACTATTGGCTATAGCAATCCAAAGCAGTTCTTGTCTTACCGTGCTAAAACTTCTGATGATAATAGGCAATATATTCCCTACAAAACTACAACTCCACGGCCAATCCTGAAGTCTTTATCTTATGAAACCACAACTCAAAGCCTTGCGCAGTACCTTCCATATCGGAACACTCCTCCTAATATTAGGAGAGAACATGGAACTTATGGATCTACAGTTACTAGCGTTAACAGACAGCAACATGCACATTATGAGACTACAACTCCAAGTACTGCAAGGCAGTCCCCAGGTTACCGAACGACACTTTACAGTATGGTCAAAGGTTACTCTGCTCACGGAACAACCATCCCTAGTGGTATCAAGCCGTATGTTTATTATGAGACTACAACTCCCAGAGCTATCAATCAATACTATTATCAGAAGACACCTCCTAGCATTATTAGGCAATACTTCGTTTATGAGACTCCAGCAACCAGTGCTACTAAACAGTATTTTTACTACGAGGCTACAACTCCCAGAGCCATCGTACAACCCTCAAGCTACTGGGGTACATCTTACAACAACGCGGTGACCGCCGGTCGCGGATCTGCAAGGCCAGTAAGCAACAGAAAAATTCCCACTTACACAGTTCCAGCTCGTAACGGTGTCATACAATTCCTGCCTTATAGAACTACGTCTTCTAATACCAACAGACAGCCCTCATCTCAAGCAGCTCTGAAACCAGTAACAACTAGAAAATTCACAAGCTACAGGACTGTGCTCCCCATTACTGTAAACAGATACCCACCCTTTGGAGGAATTTTTCCTAGTACTTCTCAACAAATTATATCCTACAGAACTTCGTATGAACCGGTAAGCTAAAAATGCTTCTGATTGGTGATAAAGCAGTTAGGATGTTTATTCTTCGGCACCTTTTTCAGCAACTTCAGCGGCAATTAATTATGGTTCCTGAGACGATAAATAATCAAAGAACTCCGTACTACAACAATAATGTACCATTACGACGCGATTTTTACAGGATTTCATACGTTCCAAATCTACCATATTCAACGCATTAGGCAAAATAAAAGTTGTTTTTTTAGTCTCTGCATTTTAAGTTTTATTTGTTTTACATTTCTGATAATCTTAATGAATCCTCAAAGTTACGTTTGGTTTGTCGAGTTTTTGCCAAGTGATTGCTGCTCAATGTATTGCTTTACAAGGCTACTTCAAACAAATGCTTTAAAAACGAATGTGAAAGCAAATTTAGCGTGATACTTTAGCAGTGGATGCACAGTTTCGCATGATACTTAGTTGTTGCATAGTTGTAATAAAAGAATCGAATTGCTACATACTGTTGCAGATACTCAACCCACTAAATGAACAATAACTGCATTTTTTAGACTTTTTTCACTTCCTAATTAGCTGAAAAGCAGCGGAGTTGGTCGGGAAGAGGCAAAGAAAGCCGGTTTTCTATTAGTTTGAAAGACTAAGCGTTTGACTTGTCGATTTGGTCTAAACAGTAAAGACTGCAAATACTTTAACAGGAAACTTCTCCGACGACCGAAACACCAAAAATCTGGGTGGTTGATCTTTTGACATGCCTGCAGTTCTTCAGTCACTCCGTTTCGGCTATTTTTGAATTTTTGGGCTTTCTGTGTTCTGGTTTAAATTTTTTTCAACTGAAGTTTTTTAGTGCTAACTTTTTTGATAAAATGGAAGATCCTGCATGGATTTGACCAAGACCAAATCGAGTGGAAGTATGCGTCTGGAATACTGTCAAAAAGTTCCATAATTTTACATTTTAACGGGTGGTCTGCACTATAGCTTTTTACCTTGTTGTTTTGATATTAAAAGACAACAAACTGTGGAAATGTCTTTGTTCATGATTTGCGTACTACTCCACAAAAACAATGATTTGGTGTACAATTTGCATGGAAGAAGATTATTTTATAATGTATATAAAATTCACAGATGTACTTTAAGAGCTGATTTTATCATCTTAAATTCTAAGGCTGGCAAACAATCAATGATAATGCAGTGCTTAATGAAGCAACAGTCCTAATTACTCGGAAATGTACTTTAACACTCCGTTTTTCCAGGTGTTTCTTACAAAAAAATAATGCTTTCGTAACTTCCTATCAAAACTATCCCTCAAAACGCTTGTAAAAAGCAAATGCTACAAAAAAATTCCTCTCTTAACTTAGCGGTTTTACTGCAGTAAGAAATCCAAAGTCACTGCAAAAACTTCACAGATATACTTCAAGAGCTAATTTTAGCAGACATTTTTGGAAACTGTTTCTATAATTGCTGCTGACAGCAACCTAAATGAAGCGTGCAAAAAAGTTAAGAATAGCAGAAAAGTAAGTGAGCAAAGGGAAAGTGTCAACCTGTACACATCAATTAAAAAAGGTCATACATATTTCATTTATGTGATTTTTCAGATTGGAAAACAAAGTGCCTTTAAGTATTTAAGCAAACAATTTGGCTTTTTTCTAAACCTTAACTCATAAGCTCTATAATCTAACCTGGACGGTTCTTGATCTTCAAATACAGCTTCAGATCCTGCTCCTTCTCAGCCCCAATCGGTCATAAAAAGCTTAGTCACATGCTTCAAAAAAAGCAGAACGTTGAAACTTTTTTAACAAAATTATTGACATAAATCCTTTTAAATTAAAGCAAAACTTCATTAAATAATCAGAAACTCATTATATCCTAACTGAATAAACACTTTGGTGTAAGTTGTGAAAAGCAAGTAGTAGTGGGTAAAATTGGTAAAGAAAATTCAAAGTAAATACAAATCTAAGTAAAGCTGACCACAACCATTCAATAAGTACAGGATTTTAAAACGGGAATGTTCCAATGAAACTATCGCAACAGATAACTTAATTCTATCAATTAAGGACCTGATACCGAAAAAGAACAAAACTTTTCAATTTTTTCACAATTCAAAGCTTTATGCAGGCCAAATCCCAGACTTTTAAACGTTTGAAAACTTGTCTTTAAATCTTCTCAATTCTTCCGCTTCAGCCGCAACAGAAATTGAATTTTTCAACGCCAAATGGGTTTTGAACCATTAAACTTTGAGCTTTTATTTTTTGGGTCACTTTCAAACCCAGTGCTATCCCTGGTAGAGCTTACATGTGTAATGGACCCCTTCATCACGGTTGTCCTTAATCATAGATTTCTGTATTTTACGATCCGTTTTTTTCTCCTATAAAAGTTTCAATAGTAAGAAAAATAAAAAATAAATAATTTTGTTTTGACAACTGTCTATTCACTTCAATGATATAATCAAAGTAATCAACGTTACCGCTTCAGAAACAACCTTGCAACAGCAGCAAAACCACGTTACATACTAGCTGTACTGTAGCCAGAATACTGAGATAAGAAATTTGCATCCTCTGCACATGGTTACCCTTTATAACATAGTTTACCAAATACCGTTTTAGTTCTCAAGATTATTGGCTAAAAATATTGCTAGTATGAAAGGCAGTTTACTTGTAGATAGCAATCTAAAGCCAGTAATCAATGTTTTCTGACGTCCTCACTAAATACTTTTTTTCTGCAACGAATAGTTCAAGAGTATGTAGTTCTCTCGACATAGCACGATTCTAGGATAATTTAGAAGGCATTTTAGGTGTCTGGAGGCCTATAACAAAATAATGAATTTACACATGGTTTAAATAGTGTTTTTAATTTTGCACAATATCAATGCGCATCATAATTCGAACCTGCTTCTTTTTTTTGACTTAAGCATTGCTATATACTTTCACATTATCGTAAAAAAACATCAGCCCAATAGGGAAACAAGAACCACGTTAAACTTTCCTTAGAATAACCTAGCATAGCTTGAAAATTGAAAAAATGGACCAAGTACTTTCATATCACAGATATTTCTTCTTTGTTCAAATCCACTTTCAAAATTTGAAAAAGTGGATCAATGTTAAAAATTAAAAAACATTTCATATGTCTTTATAAGCGGGTATTTTCTACGCTTCCTATCATTGTCTTAATCTTTTTAAATTTAAAAAAAAAAACACTATCGGTATTCTACCGCTGCTGTCATATCATAGTTTTTGTTATTTTTTCAACGAAACTTTGTAGTTAGATTTTGGCAGTTGGGAAACAAATGCTCGGTAATTTGGCAGTTCTTTTCTTTACTAAGCATTTCGCTGTCCTTACTTTTTTGAATTTCGCTTTTGATGTATCTACCAAACTGCTTTATGGAATTGAATGACGTAATATCTGATCAAAAATACGAAAAATAGAAGGCGAGGAAAAGGTAGACACCTGTAAAAAACATGAAGTTTAATTAAGGTTGAGCTCAGCTGCAAGTCTGGGAACACAGTCATATTGTGCAGAAGTCTGGGAAAACAAATTTTTTGCTACGTGAAGAAGATGTAACTTGGAGGAGAATTTACTTCTACACGCTCTCTCAAACTTTTCAAAGCAAGGACCAAGCCCCACCAAACAGTAAAATCTGAAAACAATTTGGGGTTGCAAGTTGAAGGCGTTTGCTAACTGTAATGGGACGGTCCATATATACTTGTGGAAGCGCAATTTTATTTTCTTTTTTTCAGCTTGGTTCTCAAAATGAAAAAAGCCTGTGACTGGCAATGCGCCAACTTCGTGCCTAATTGCATTCTTAGAAACTGTCTGGTGTGGAAGGTAGTGAAATCGAACTCGGTCTGGAACTCCTTTACATTTTCCATTGTTTTCGTCTTATCTTACTTACTTGTATGTAGCTGATCCCTTAGTTAGTGAGGATAGCTTGTTTAGTTCTATTCTCTTCAAAAACTGAAGTTGTTAGTTTGGACTGATGTAAAGGAAATTTTTGCCAATTCAATTTAACACTATCCAGAGACACTTAGGGAATATAGGGATATGCAGCTCTAGGGTTTCCATTATTTTTTGACCCGTCATGAAATGTGCTTTCCAATTTTAAACTAGAAATGTAGATTTTTTGAGAAGCCATGAACAATCGTGTGGTTAGAAGTTGGAATTAACTGGATCCTTTGGTATTTATATATGAAAATTTCTGGGAACAGGGCTGTGAACACTGCAGTTGGCAGGGTATTTTTTAAAATGTTGGTAGCTTTCGCGTTTTGTAAAACTAGAAATTAAAACATGAAGAATTTGAGATAAGCCTCGTTCAGTGTTTTTTTGTTATATGATCTTGTTCATTAATCAAAAGTCTGTCCATACTTTGCGAAGAAAATTTTTGCCATATAAGCGACTGTTGCAGATAGGCTAGAAGTAGCTCTTCTGGAAGAGTTTACTACGGAAAAGCATCCATTTAAGTGCTGAACTTTTTTATCACGTAGGGACGGTTGGAAAAAAGCCAAAAAAAGATGGTGCGTTCGTTTTTTCAGATTCCGAGTAGTGCATTCAAACTGCGGGCGGGAGGTTGTTGTTGACCGGAGCGTTATTTGGTTATGCCATCGGCATTTGTTTTGCAGCGAGTATTTACCGGTTTCTCACTGTTGTTTATTTCTATGGCGTCATTTGTCGTCATGCGTTTGAACGTGAAGTGGATTCTCCAGAATTTCGTTCTTGCGTTTAAATATACCAAACGATTCGTTTCGGAGTTACATTTTTACTAAGCGATGAGATTTTTTTGGATTCTTTGAACTGAAGTGAAGTTCTTATTTTGTAAAAACAGTGCGTTCAATTTTTACGTCACTATTTTGATAGTTCTTTTACATTCTTGTGCTCTTCACAGTCTGCTATCGGTTAGATTCTTTAATTTCCAAAATTTTTTACCCTTTTAACAGAGACCGCTTTTGGAATATAATGAGGAATTTTTTTTTTGATGACATTTTACAGAATTGGTCGTCTTAGTTATTTCAGACCTGTTGTTTCTCTCTTTTTTTTTCTTTTCAGTCTTCTTTTCGCTTGCGCAGGTTCGCAATTTTTTTTACTGTTAGCTGCAACAACATGAAATTTATACTTTTCTAAAGAGAAATAGAAATCTGCAAAAAATTGAAAAGATGAGGCGATCAAATTAAGTTCACTTTAAAGATTTTGTAACACTTCTCTTGCGTTTGTAAATCGGTATCGGATTGTTCAGTATATTTATGTTAAGAAAAAAAGTTAAACTTGTGTTTTCATTGATGTTACAGATCTCTCTAGAGTTACACGGGTTGCGGCACCGAGTTTCAGTAAGTTTTTAGTTTGCTCTTTTCAGATCAGCATTTTCTAAAAATAACAGTTGGCTACGTTCTATGGTTGGAAATTTATTGTTTTATTTTCTACAATATTTTTCAAGAACCATGTTGACTAGTTTTTTGTCTTAATATGGGACGTCAATTTTTTGAGTACTTTGAGGAGTTACGACTTCTATAGCTTTCCTTCTGCTATATTTAGTGCAAGTTTCGGGAGTAGTTAAGCGGAAGCAGCGCAGATTTTGACGTCGGTGAAGAAAAAAAGGAGATTAGCTTTTACCGCCGAACTCTGTAGCTGATAGTAAGGACAGGTAGTAAGAAGAGTTTGCCATTTGATGACGGCACAGAACGGCGGGTTTAACGGCGAGTTTCGATGTGAGGTAGTAGGGGGGAGGAGGTAGGGTAGAAATTATCAGGTCGTTAAAATCATTTCGACAGCTTAATAGTTGTTATTATAAATCTTTTTTTTTTTTTTTTTATAACAACTCTTTTGCTTTGTGCATTTTTATGAAACGAAGAAATGGCTGTTAGGTGCGTTTTTACTGCGGTGGAATTTTGCTGGTTTATTTGAGAGCAAGAGACTTATCAAACAGGAATATCGTTGAGGTGTGGAACGGGAGTACGCAAGAGTTTCTGAAGTGAAGATTATGATAACGGGGAAGGAAGAAGACTCGTGGGTGAATAATGCACGTTTCATGACGGGTTGTAAAGTAAAGCAGCGTTGAACCTATTAAATATTTTTTGCGTAAACACTCAATACCACAAATACTGAAGTTCCTCTTCTTTTTTTGCGCTCATTCATTTTTGTTCATTTATTTTTTTGTGTCATGTGTATGCGACTGTTCGATTTTGACAGTAGTTTCATTGGTAAGTATTTCATTCTCTAGCAGTGATGCGAACGTGGGAAAGCCCTCCACAGTTAATACCATATTCTTTTGATGAAGTGGTCTCTGTTTTTTGGAATCGTTACCCGAACTCAAAAGCGTCTCATATAGTTTCAGAAGATGTTTTAGAGAGAAAGGTTGGTTTCCATTGTAAACAAAATTAATTTATGGTGAGCAGTTCTAGTTAGATTTAAACCGGACGTTGTGTTTCCTCTTCAGCTTTGATTATCTTTATATTAGCTTGGTATTAACTGATTTAAAAGGAGCCGTTTAATTCAGTTCACTGTGCACCACCGACAATTTTCCAGGTTGTGGGCGATAAAATTGTGACGAAAAAGCTCATTGTCAAAAAGGGAGCATCTTTTTTGAAGGCAGCTCCTAAATGGGTTTCTAAACTAACTAATGTACAGGTAATTGTTTCAGCCGTATTTTTTCTCTGTCTTGTAATTCTTTTAATGTTTCTGCTTTTTTGGGTTATTGCATGAAGGCTTATTGGTTGGATTTTTTTCACCGGTAGTAGTTCATAATACTCTTGACTGACAAGGTACAGTGATGATTTTTTACTGGATTTTTGATTCCAGTCTTTGTATTTTTTAAGGATGAAGGCTCTAGCTTTGCAGGAACCTTTATTTTAAATTCCACTGAAAGCCTTTAACTGTTTAGATGGTCCCAACGATTGAAGAAAGCGTTTTTGATAGAGCTGCACGAAAACTGACTACGTATACGCGAAATGTTGCGTGGACATCTATTTTTCATATGCATGAGCGGTGTGTGTACACGCCGGTAATAAAGCTTCATTTGTGCCTTGAATAACCGTTTGAATCATGTACTTGCTACTGAATTCGAATTGTTGTGTGACTTGGACTATTGTTCCTTCATTTAAGATTGAGTGGATACGAAATGAGCAGTCTACCTCCAGGGCCTCTATAGGTCGTGCTGTTTTTGTGGATGTTAATTATGGTGCCCTTGATCCACTAATTGAAAGAGTTTTTGTGCTTTCTTTTCGTAATTCTATCAAGAAAACTGCAGCTGGCCTTATCGAAAAACTTGAAGAAAGGTAAGAGTTTTACGATTTTTTGCCAAGTAAAAATTTAAGGGTTTTCAAGATTACTGGACAGGTTTTGACTCTTATTGCCGCTAGAGGCAATATGGAAGCTGTGAAAGAAATAGTTACATATTTTTGAGTATTACCTTAATTTGAAGGTTTGGTATGCCGGCGAGTGGTGTCTCTTATGCTGGTGGTAAAATATCGCAGAAAGCCGCGGAAATCAAGGGGAAAATTCTTCAGAAAAGTAAGATTGGGTTCGAAAAAGCCTGAAGTGGTGTTCCCAGCCATCGCTAAGTCGTCTCAACGTTTTGGAAGAGGTAATTTCTTATTCGGGACAGACTTTGCAATTTAGAATTCCGGTCGATTTCTACGTCTATGCCTTTAAATTATCAGGAGATTTTAGTGAAGGTGATTGCTATTTTAGTGCTCTTCGTGACACATGGAGATCTCATTTGTGGACGTAAAGAGACGGCCTTGATTCGTTATATCTTTCGAAATAGTTCTTTAGTGTGTTTTAGGAATATTAGCTTTTTTGTCAAAGACATTGTAATTATTTATTAGTAAAGAAGTGATAATTACTTCTTTTGAGCACGTTCTGACTGCATCAGGTTAGACGTCAGACAGGGGACACATGTAATCTTTGTCTCCCATTCTAGCGTTTCTATACTGATTGCTTGGAATCTAATAGTCATTGCCATTCCATAGTCTTGTTTTTGCTGAACTTATCTAGTAATGCTTTAGTTTTTGATCAACTAAGCTTTCTTTCATGCATTTTACGGTACTTTCTCTATTTATCTGCGAATAAAGCGGAGAAGTTACGGCAGGATTTGTTTTTCTTTCCTTTGTTTTGTTTATTTTTCATCTCAAAACAGTGCGTTACTTCATTCGTTTTACGGTTAATCTACAGGTCTGCTGTGATTTTTGTCGTGTCATGACTTCTTTTCTTTTGTTGGAATTTGTTTGCAGCATCTACTTGCGGTTATTGAAGATTGTGCATTATATTTGGTTCGTTTTGTTGTATGCTTTGGTTGAGTCAGCCATTGCGGTGACAATTCGCTTGCATTTTCGCATTTTCAAATTGTTAATCAGTGTTGATGATTTCTGTGTTGGGACGGCAATTCTTTTAAAAATTTTCGTTACATTAAATTGTTTTTTTTCTTTTGTGCCTTACCTTTCTTAGCACTTAAATTTTGTATACTGAGAACAGAAATTGCT